ATAAAGTTTAAATTAAGTGATGTATCTGTATGATCTTTGATGTAAAGAATACCATTCTATTCCTTGATGCATTCCGAAACAGGCAAATAACATGTAAATTAGGTAATGTGAGAGGAAGTAATTTCTAACCATCCTGACTCAACTTAAATTGTACCCCTAACAAAGTAGGATATTTACAAAAGTCAAGCTGTAACAAAACGCTACTTTCTCTTGGCAAGATGTGTTATTATGCAATTAAAAGTAAATGTAAAAAAATAATATATTAAACAAAACAAAAAATCATTCTAATTTTTAACAATAACCTTCTCTTCTGCCTTAGGCTCTCACAGTTTTTAGGTAAATCATTTCTATGGTCCTCAAGTGGAATAAACACATTTTTCTGAGAATTTACACTAAAGATGATGTCTGTTAAATCAAAGGACATTTAGTGAAAAAATTAGAATCTGACGTAATAGATTCACTCTGAAAATCTACATTTATAATATCTAAAACCCAAAAGGTACTTATACTCAATGTCATAATTTATAATTGAATTATGGATTATTTAAATGAGATAAAGGAAAATACTTCATATTTACCAAAAATCTTAAAAACAGAGGTCATATATATAATCACCTGCTTTACTTTCAAACTATCACTGGCAGTTTGATTTGTATTGTATAGTATGCTTTCATTTGCTATTGCTAAATATTCATTTGATCTTTACCACATTCCTGTCTGTTTTAAAATCTCAATGTAATCTGTGGTTCAGAGAGTTTGGGGAGAAAGTCCAAAATTACTGAATTAACATTTATTGTGCCCAGGAAAGGAACTCAATTTATCTGACTCTGCGTTTTGTTTTAATGCTTGGAATCCTGGTGTGCTTCTGTAGGATAAGTACTGGACATCAAGGCAGGTTTGAACTATTAAGGTCGGTGGTTCAAATCCACCAATGAATCCTCAGAAACTCTAAACAGGGTCATTATAAGTCAGAACTGACTCGATATCACTAAGATAATAATGAAAATTACATCAGTTCAGAAGGAGATTCTTGTATATCGCCACAGTATAATACCAGATATTTTGTGTTTATATTTAATTTTATCTAAACTTTAGCAAAGTAGCATAACATGTGAACATCAGAAATTTAAAAGTAACAATCATTTTCATCTTGTTGATTCATAGACTACAAAAAATAGTTATTGACAAAAGTTGGAATCATAATTATAGCTCATATCAAGGGTCTCTTGCAAGTTAGACATTTTATATGCAAACATGAGTAAGGAGCTCTGGTAGCAGCAGTTTAGAGCCAGACTGCTACCTAAAGATCAGAAGTTTGAAACTACCAACTGTTTGGTGAGAGAAAGTTGAGGCTTTCTGGTCCCATAAAGATTGAAAACCTCAGAAACCCTGTACAATGTCTCTATGAGTCAGAATGGACTCCTGAGCATACTGCCACCACAACCACCACCAGTTGCTTAATGGTGAAACCTAAAAGGTTTTACTTTCTTATTTCTACTACTAGATGATAATACATAAAAAGATTAAGTAGAAGATGAAACGTAATTTAGGAATTAACATGCACGTGGTGCAAAGATAGCTATTTGACTTCATTTTCTCTCTACTACTGGGATTTTGTTGTTATGTGCCGAGGAGTCGGTTCCGACTCATAGCGACCCTGTACGGGGTTTCCGAGGCTGTAAATCTTTACGGGAGCAGAAAGCCTCATCTTTCTCCTGTGGAACAGCTGATAGTTTCGAACTGCCGACCTTGGGGATCTTAGATCATAGTAATTAAACATTAAAGTGGTAGTTGTGGAAGCAGTAGAAATCGTATTCTTATTTAGAATATTCTACTAAGGGTATCATGTTTGGTAAGGTGGAGGGTCAGAGAAAAAGAAAAAGACCTCCAATGAGATGCATTGGCCAAGTGGCAGCATCGATGGACTCGAGCGTGGCAACAGTAGTGAGACTGGCCCAGGATCAGGCAGTGTTTCTTTCTGCTGTGCATAAGGTTACTTTGATGGCACCTAATAACAACAACAACTAACTGGGAAGCAATTTTCATGCAGAAGCTTATTTTAGTGACTCAGTTAAAGGGAATTACAAATTACAAAATAAAGATTAGGCAATTATTGGAGTCGTCAACATTTATATGGAGTTTTCATAATATGGACATAATATGGATTCATCAACATTTATAGCCTTGGGAACACTTAGACCAGTTTTCCTTTCCATACTGGGTTGTTATGGGTTGGAACTAACTCAAAGACAAGTGATTTAGTTTAAACTTTACAGAAGCTTATTGCCCCATGTTTCTTTAGAAATGTGGTTGGGGGATCTGAACTTAAAAAAACTGCAAATTAATTTCCTTTGGATGTTGTTATCGTAACTCATAACAATCTTATAGAACAAATTGACTGGCCCATTGAGTAGTTTCCCAGACTATAATCTTAACAGGAACAGATTGACAGATCATTGTCTTTACAGAGCTGCTCGTGGTGTTGAGCCACTGATTTCTGATTATCAATTGAGTGCCTATCCACTACTCCACCAGGGCTCCTTTGAATATTTGTTGTTAGTATTGTTAAGTGCCATTGAACCATTTCTGACACATAGTGATGAATTTGAACAGATGGCCTCATGGGTTACAGCCCACTGCTGATCCTATAGTGCCACACCAGGATTCCATTGAAAGATATTGTTGTTGTTGTTGTTATGTGCTATTGAGTCGGTTCAGACTCGAAGTGACCCTGTATTGATAGGGTTTCCAAGAATTGTCTGGTGAGTTTGGACTACTGACCTTGCAGTTCAAACTGACCTTGTGGTCGAGTGCTTATCCTATTGTGTCACACCAAGACTCCTAGAATGATATTGTTGCTCTTGTTGTCAAGTGCTGTCTTGTTAGTTCTGACTCATAGCAATCTTGTGTAGGATTGCTCAGGAGAGGCTGGTGAATTTGAACTGCTGACCTTGCAGTTCAAACCAACCTTGCTGTCCAGAAGTGGTCTCACAGCACTGCACCAGGACTTCTAAATGATATTGTTGTTGTTGTTAAGTGCCATCAATTCATTTCTGACTCATAGCAGCCCTGTTCATGATTTCATATAAAAAACCAAATTTTGGTAGGCTCTATGGCATCAATTAAAATTAAAAAACATGATGATGAATCTGAAGCTTTGTTTGTAGAGGTGACTTAGTTCATCGTGGTCATTTTTTGGTCATCGTTTGAGATTTATGATAACCCAAATTATCTTGTGAGAAAAAATAGACTCCGTGTATTTAATTAAAGTGATCTAACTCTAAACCATGAGTTACTTTGGTACATAATCCCTGACCACAAGGCACAGTGACCATGACCCTCCAATAAACTTAATACTGTTTTTTTCCTTTTAACTTTATATTGTGAACTGAGTGAAGCTTAATAGACAAGATCATCAGCTTTACTTTCAAACAATCATACATTTTGTTTCCTCTAAATGACTATAATCCCCTCCCTGCAATGCGCTTATCCTGTTTCCTCCCTGCGGCATCACTTTTACATCTTATTTTTTCACAAATCAACAGAGTAAAGATATTTGATGTACATGTACAAAACAAAATCTATATATTCATTTAATTATTGAAAAGGTACATTTTGCAAGCTAGTATCCTGCCCACAGACATAAAGACTTTGTTAGTACATGGGACTGGTATCCACAGATGCTATATCTCTCCACGACATATCCTGTATCAGTCTTTGCTGTCTCCACTTTCTAGGGAGAATGGTCCTGGGATCCTTTGTTCCTGAAATGAAAGATTAACTGCTCTCCACTTTTAGTTAGGTATCTTCTGTAATTATAGTTGTGGAAATCACAATTAATCTTTCAAACAGTTTCTTACAATTGAATAATAAAATCCTACCAATAGTATCCCCTATGCCCTGTTACCATATCCATCTGGAAAAGAGGAAAACTATTCAATAGGGATTCTACAATACCACTCTAGTTATAAAACTAAGTAGATGCTTGAAAGCTTGTAAGCCTGCCACTTTGTGTCTTTATTGCCCCAATTTTTGATAGCTAATGTCTCAACTGCCTTTCCCTGTCTACTCAGTGCACTGAAAAAACAAGTTTTATCCTTGATATGAAGACACATTCCATTTTGGTTCAAATTTTGAACAACTGAATCCATAAACAAAGATCAGCTCATCAATTTTCAGCATTTATATTTGTTCACAGCACTAAGCATCTTGCTTTTTATCTGGTCACGTTCCGGTCAACTAGCTAGGCTAATGGCTACTAGCTGCAAATGTGGGAGTTCACGCATGCCTCCTCACACTTCAGACCACTTGCTTGCTTAATTGTAAACTGTAGTGCCAGTGGCTAGGTTAGTGCCCATAAGCTCAAGAATTCAAATATCTCCCTAAACTTCAGATGATCCCACTAGTCAGAGGGCTGTTTAATAACACTAGCCAAAATTTGCTCAGTTTATCTGAATTTATCAACCACATTTTATATTCTATCAATTCATTAAAGCAAACATGGAAATCGTTATATAATTTGAACAATGTCATGGCAGAAAGGAACTTAAATTTGACCAACACATATATACATTAGAAGACAATATGGAAGATAATGCACAAGAAATTTTCAATCTAAATAATGAAATTAAAAATATATTAAAAAGATAAGTCTGAATAAATATTAAGCATAATCTGAAAATATGAATAATGTTGTTACCACTCATATGTAGCCTAAAAATGTAAGTCTAAAGTCTAAACACATAGACTTATGATGACTTTTTCACAAGTGATGAAAGCAAGTTATCTTCCAGATGAATTTACATGTCTGATGTCCTAGAGACAATTAATTGTGGAACCATAATTCAGAGGCATTCTAATGGCAAAGTTGGTGTTATTTATTTTATTACACACTGCAAATGATATAATATTCATGGTAGAGTCTACCTAAGTACTGGATTATCACTTAACTGACTTAACTTTCTTCCTTAACACTCTAGGAACTATCTTATGATATTAACATGAGGGCCATTTATGAAAATTCCACTGATTTCATCCTCTTGGGCCTCATCACCCATCCCTTGTTCCCTGGGGTTATTTTTACCGTGATCTTCTCCATCTTTGTGGTGGCTGTAACAGCGAATGTGGTCATGATTCTGCTCATTCATGTGGACTCTCGTCTCCACACACCCATGTACTTTTTGCTCAACCACCTCTCCATCATGGACACAGTGTACATCTGCATCATTGTCCCCAAGATGCTTCAAGACCTTCTGTCTAAGGAAAAGACTATCTCTTTCCTTGGCTGTGCAGTTCAGATATTCCTTTATGCAACAGTGGTTGGAGCAGAATTCTTCCTGCTAGGCCTCATGGCCTATGACAGATATGTGGCTGTGTGCAATCCCCTCCGATACCCTGTTCTCATGAACCACAGGATTTGCTTATTTATGGCAGTGGGATCCTGGTTTGGTGGATCATTGGATGGATTTATTTTGACTCCTATCACCATGACATTTCCTTACTGTGGGTCTCGAAAAATCAATCATTTTTTCTGTGAGATCCCAGCTGTGCTGAAGCTCTCATGTAAAGTCACACCTCTTTATGAGACCCTCATGTATTCCTGCTGTGTGCTGATGCTGCTCATTCCTATATCCATCATCTCTGTTTCCTACACACAGATTCTGATTACTGTTCATCGGATGAATTCTCCTGAGGGTCGTCGCAAAGCCTTTGCTACTTGTTCTTCACATATTATTGTGGTGAGTGTTTTCTATGGGGCAGCCTTATACACCTATGTGTTGCCCAGTTCTTACCACACACAGGAGAAAGACAAAGTTGTGTCAGCCTTCTACACCATCCTAACTCCTATGCTCAACCCACTCATCTATAGCTTGAGAAATAAAGATGTGTCAGCAGCTCTAAGAAAAATGCTGGGCAGATTCACGTCCACTCATTTTGTTGGGGTGGTGGATGTATCTATAAAACAGTAAGGCATTCACGTACATCCCATTTACTGTTTCTATAGCACATAGTTTTTAAAGTAATTATGTTCTTGATTCATAACAATGTTCAGTATCATTTGAAAAATACTGAGATATTAATAGGCAAGATTTTTCCTGTTGCAAGTGTAATTTAAAAATGATCGTTGAACACTCTAAATGTCTCAGAATTAAGCAAAATATTTTATTGAATCAATAGACAATCATTCTTTGATTGTTAACATGGTATGTAAATTATCCCCACCAGGGTAAGTATCCTTTGTAAGAGTCCTTAATCGATATTTTCATGTTATATATGTCCATCTGTCGCTTATGTCTGTATTCATAAGGAACTTTTGGGTGGAAATGTTCAAGTAATCTGTACACGTATGAGAATATCTAGTGGTAATACCATAGCTTTTATATTTCAGAAGTGATTATAAACATTTTTAGATTGCATTTTTATTTCTGTATTGTTAGTTAACATTCATAATTATCTATATTATTTTACTACTTAAAGTACATGTAATTACTTTGCCTTTCTTTAAATGTTAACAAGTCTCATATGTAACTTATATTCAGTTTACTGATTGATTGAAACTTTTGCTACTAAGATCATAACATTGCTATAATTCAGAAATGGCTTATATTTATGCTTTAATGTGGAATTAATAGTAGAACACAGCATGAATATGTAAAGACACTTATAATATCAAATTTTGTATCTTGGGTTAAGTATCTAAATTTTCTTATTCTCAACGTTTCCATCTAATATATGGGTAGACACATCTTTAAAAGTAATAAGAATGATGTGCTAAGTTTTGTTTGTAACTGAATAACTATGCACAAAGATGTACAATAGTAACTAAAAAAAGATATACTGAGTCTTCCATCATCTATTTGGTAATGATTCCAGTTCTTCTATCATAGCATTTCTCTGATTGTACTTGTTGTGCATGTTGTTGTTTTTAATGTGTCTTTGAGTTGGATCCAAGTCATAGTAAACCAGTTTACAAGAGAAGAAAACAATGCCCAGTCCTCCATCCTCATCACAATCAATGCTATGATTGAGATCATTGTTACTGACACTGCGTTAATACGTCTCATTGAGGGCCTTCTTACTTTTTCTCAAAGGAGAAAAACGTCATATTTAGTAAAGTGTTGTGTCAGTGAAAAAGAGGAATCCCACGAAGGAGTTGGAGTGATACTGTGGCAGCAATCATGTATGTGCTCAAACTTAGCACAGATAGTGAGGTTGGCGCATGACTGGGTAGTGTTTCTTTCTCTGTGCTCAGGGTCACTATGAGTTGGAACTGACTTGATAGCATCTAGTAACAACAAGAACAGAGTTTTAAGATTTAGAAAGAAAAGCAGAGGGCCAGTGGAAAAGTATTGTTACTAGACAATCAGTTCAAACTTGCATGGGCTTATTCCAAAGAAAATTAATTAACTGTATCTCTACAATCAGAGTATGGATGTAGACAAATTATCTCAGATATCCTTTTCTATTAAAATCATTGTTAAGTGATATTCTGAATCATAGGATTTCTCAGGAAAAGCTGATGGATTTGAAATGCTAATATTTGCATTTAGCAGACCAGTGCTTATCCTATAGCACCACAAAAAGGACTCCTTAGCCCATTTGTTGTTGATTTTAAGTGCCATCAAGTAGGTTCTGACCCATAGTGACCCTATATAGAGTTCCCAAGGAGTAGCTGGTGAGCTTGAACAGCCAACCTTGCAGTTCGAACAGTTTTGCAGTCTGGCACAATAACCCAAGCACCAAAGTGCTAATCAAAATATTGGCTTTCAAGGAATATGCTGGGCCAGTCAAATTTAAGGGAAAGAGGTCAACTCAGAAAGTTATGGTGTCTGCTTTTTGAGAATCCAAATAGGTAATCTTGATCAATTTATTTTAAGGACACAGGATAATGAATGGGACTTAATATGAAGAAATATAAAGAAAATTGTAAGCTTCATTGGTGAGAAAAAGTCTAGGAAAATAATATTAAGGAATTAATTTTATTCAAATGACAACAATCTACTTGCTAATTCCTCAAGGGAATGAACTGACTGTCCTACACGAAATTCATTGGGAGACTCCTCTGTCTATGCTATAATCTTTATCTTGTTCTTTCAGAATTCTTTTTGTTTCTCTAACTCAAAGCAAATTTAAAAAGAACATGATATGGCTTGTCAAGGATGCCAAAATGATGTTTTGGTATTATGTGTATTGAAGAGCACTCAATTATTCATAGATGAATTATAAAATGGGAAGACTGCTTTAAGACATATCTTGATAGAGGATGTGTCAAAAAATTAGCTTTATATTTTGATACTTTCATTTAATAGAAGTTTCTAAGATTTTTAAGAATACTTTTGGGCTTACTTCTGGTTTGATAACAAACCATAGTCAAATTCAATGAAGTTAGGTTGATCCCAACATATGGTTTCCCTTGTGTGTCACCATGAAACTGTACTTTATAGGGATTCCAATGACTGATCTTAGGATGTACACCATTGTTGTTGTTGTTGTCAGGTGCCATCGAGTCGGAACCGACTCATAGCGAC